GGTGCCAAACGCTTTACAGCGCTTAAAATAAAAAGGCGGAGAAAATTTATCATCCCCAGAAAGTGGTGAACTTACCTAACAGATGTAGGATCAGGCAAGTGGCGAGTGGCGTCAAGTTTGTCAATGACCAGGGAGATGTCATTTGAGTCAATGGCATATCCAAGAAACGTGATTAAATTTGATGTAAGAATACATTTTGCAGCGTTATTGATGACGCCATATTTGGTTAACCGATTAAACACAGTGAGCAATTGTTTTAATTTCGTGCGTGTGTAGGACTAGCAACCAGGCTGTAATCCAGATACACAGAAACAAAAGAAATACCGCTCATAACCTTATCAGTTAAGCCTTGAACTATTCGTGCTGCTTACGTACAAATTCAAGTCACCCAAGCGGTGTGGTACTAGCACTTTTATGAAGGTCATCGGAATGTATAAGGATGTGAGGATAAGCGCAGAGAATGTCAATATGAGTCATATGATTAAAATTGTCCCTTGCAAACTGTAAGCTTTCAGGGATTGAACATCGTGTTGGTGTAAAAGCAGGGGCTCAAAGAATATGAATAGGGTGAAACAGTGAATGTTTTGGGTTTCGTTAAATCCGGAAACTGAGTAAACATTACGTATGAATGTATTTCGGCACCCTTAGATAATGTTAGCGGATACATTGACGGGAAATCGATATATTTTGCTGTTGTAGTGGTTAACGGCACCACGGAATCTGTAGTAAAAAGAGCAGATGACCAATGTAGGTCAGCTAAAATGTCACGAGGAGAAAATCCAAGTTAATCCTGACGCACAGTTACAATAGCAAATTCCGTAGTTCAGTGATAACGTTGAACCACCACACCAAAAAGTAAGAGAGTTCTATCTTCCTGGTATTCCACACCTCAGGTGATTGCAATAATAATCTGCAGGTGTGAATAGATGAGTCCAGTGTTTGAAGCTAAAATTCTTGTTCACGTTGAATTAGTAGCAGCCAATTATAAACAACCGACAGCCACAACAACAGTCACTCAGCAAAAGTCCCAAAGTCATTTTGGACCCAAGTAGCAGGCGGTTATGATTGCATTTCAATGAAACAAAATTTTGTACAGTAATGTGGCCGATACTGACAGTCGAAAAAAGATAATATTGAGCATGAAAAATAGCAGTTCACAAGTGCTACGCTGTAACGGACAGTAGCCTGTGGACGCCGATGAGACGCTGTCTCAAATCAGACTATATGTTGAAACATGTGAGAACTTATCATAAGTTATAGGATTGTGTACTTCAGCAGTGATGAAAACAAGAGATTAGCACGTAAAATGCGCTGTTCATTATTTTGATAGAGGAGCCATCGGCGGTAGTTAGATCAAAAGTGGAAGGTTTGGAGTTGGATATAAAACTACTTCTGATGTCATCTTCAGTGTCAACAAGAGTATTTAGTCCAGAAGTCTTGTCGGAAATCATCGGTTGGCTGATGATGCAAGGAGGACATTTTACTTTAGTCCCCTTAACAATTCTGCCTCTGTGCTTTCCGACAATGTCCGAGGGGAAGCGTAATTAGTTCGGAAGAATCTTGTTTGGTAGCACATGCGTGTACAATGTTCAAAGGTGCCATGGCGCTAGGAATGACCACTTCCCCCGAAGGGTGAACGGGGCCGAGGTTGCGACCGTGGATTTAACAGTGTAAGGCAAAATTAGAAGGGTGGAAACAAGTGAGTGGCTGCTATCCGATTCGTTAATCCGTCAAGACAGTCGTGAAGACTTGACACAAGCTAGTATATCCACAAAAGAGATACCAGAATAGCATGGTCGAATTCCCGATACCTTATCTGCTTTGCTGGCAAGTCAGGCGAGTGAAACACCTGAACTGGAAGCACGGAATGACTGTACGCGGGTGGGTTGACGTTCCGAAAATTGCTATTTAAACAATGCTCCATCAGTTTATGGGTAGTCACAACAGTCAAGGCGGGGTAGAGTCATCGAGAGATTCCCTACTTAGCAGTTGTTACAGTCATTTGTGTTACTATAGACTATAGCGTACAATGATGGTGGTACCTAATTCAGATACACATTGGTATCGTGAGGGTCCAATTAAATGTCACGCTAATTGGCCGCTATTTCAGGAATGGGATCTTTAGGCACACGGTAATACATATTACGCTGTTGGATGATTCCACTGAGGGTGAACTGAGCTTGGACTTGAGTGGACCTGGATTTTCAGGGATTCACAGATTGATACACACGACCGAGGTCTTCGCCAAAGCATGGATCAGCTCTCTCGAATTTGAAGAACCAAGAGGGCGTGTGCAGCACATGATGGTTAAATACACATTGTGGAACAATGGTGCGGGAGGTACGGCTGTTTCAGTAATGAAGCCGGTCAATTTGAATCCAAACAGGAAATTGCTGTTGACTATTAGTGAAATTTGGGGTTGCTGGCCAGTGGACACAGTGAGATGGAGAAATTCGCAGTAGAGATAAATAACAAGTTGATTCTCAGATGTATGGTTTACATTGAAAATGGGTAGACTCCTGGTGTCGGTGTTGGAGGGATGTCAGATTTAAGGAAGGAGACAGTGTCAGTGCATAGGGCCAAAAGTTCGTTCAATGCTCGAGCACGGTAGGTAAAGTCGTTGGGTGGGGCAAACTGAAATTACAATTGAACACTGAGGTAGTTGGACCCGACGGAGAGTTGGAGCAAATTGGAGCAAAATCATCCCGGAGGTGGTTTGGGCCAGGTGGGTAACTTGTTCGTATTACAATTGCAGTAGCAAGTGGGGGCCAAAGCGGTAAAGAGGTGAAGTCGAGAGTCGGAAGAAAGTAATTGCGAGTGTGCCATCAGACCGAGTGCAACAGTGGCAAGCCATCATATAATGGCAATATTGCAATATTGCACTGACATACTTTGGTTTCTGTAACCGTAACAGATGTCAAGGTTGCGGTGATCGGACGGGGGCTGCACGCTCCTGTGGGCAGCGCCATCTGGTTTAGCCAAAGAAGCCACCACAGGTAGAGTCAAGACAATGTGGAATCACAGAGGATTTAGATTAAACTGGAGTTCCATGTGGATGTGAACCAGTGACCAGGCAGAATGAATAGCGGGTGTTCAAATCAGCTCTGCCGAAGACTGAGGCTTGGGTAGATATGGGAATGGGATGTCACTAGTAGAGTCTGATGGGCATAAGACATATGGAACGCTTCACGAGTTCGCCTGTCATCTTTGCGCGGAACCGTCCTTTTCTTCTCTTTAGCGCTCAATTTTTGGTAAATTTGTCCCCGAAGCGAGTGTCCCGACTGATGTTTCTTCACTGGTGGTGGTATTTACCATTATTTGGTATGCTTCGTTTCTGAAAAGCAAATAATGGATGCTGGAATGCTTAAATATTTGTGCCGAAGTGCGCCATTTCGTTAGTGATATTGGTGGTGACAATTTAACAACTTTAAAGGGATACCAAAGCTCCCCTTAGTGTAAGCAACCGAATGCATAGTTTCTGGCATCTAGCGCCACTTACTACTAAAGTTTATTTCAGGCTTCTTGCTGTTGGGTCCACTGCTTCTTTCCCCAAGCGTGGGCGTAAAATTACCGCTTTTTACTGTTGTGTTCTACAACCTTTGAGCAGCAATTAAATCTTCCTTAGGTTTATTTTACCATTGGAGTCCAAATATCTTAAACAAAATCCTTTACAGTTGCATCGCTACTTAAGAAAAAAATCAGAGCCCCAAAGTACGTTTTTGATTACATGTTTGATCCCATAAGTCGTGGAACATGCGCTGACGCAATTTTTAGAGCTGCATCAGGTCATCCATTTCTCATTACATTCTTCTGCATCAAGCTCATTAATGTTTTACAAACCGTATTAACACGGGTGCTAGTGGTCATATGGACGATGATAATGTTTAGCTTAGACCTGTGGGCGTCGTACTGCCAGCCAGGGTTATACGTTACAATGAACATTTTCCCTAAGTGCGCAACGGCTCCAAAATCTCGAGGGGAATTCTACTCAATATCAAGTCTTTCCTTCAAGTAGAATCTTCCGAGTGAAAATAGAGCCTAGCTACTCTTCCTCCATATCATCTCTGTCGGTAACTCTTGGAGTTCTTCAAGGCTGCTTTCTGGACTCACTCCCACTTCAAATCTACGGCATTGACCTTCCTGAAACTCTTCGAAGTCCACAGTTGCCTTTGCAGGCGATCAGAGACCTTTGGTTTCAAATGCTAGTGCACTTCAAATGGACTGGACGCCAGAAAACAGTAATTAGAAGACTGGTACGTTCCTCTGAATGACGAAAAAGTTATGCTCATGCAGGTTTACAATATACCAGAAATATTACGAACCTGGGTTCAAAACGAACTCAGGTATCTGGCTCTTTTCGAGCAATTACTTTTCACTACATCACAAAAATCTATCAAGTTGTCATTTGTCATTCTTGGGATTATTTGCCACAATTATACCTGGACCTTCGATCACTGTACGCAGCCTACATCCGAACGTCTCTTGAGTACGCCAAGCAAGTTAACTAGTCAAGACACAAGAAGGAACAAACCCCTATTGAGGGTATCCAGATACATACATGCCAAATATGAACCTCCTTTCGTCTAGATTTGATTTGTCCATTTACTCAAAAGCCCTCACACACATGTCACAGTGGGATTGCGACTTGTGACTCTACACCTTGTTTTTTTTCCTCACCACGTAAGATCAGTCGTTTGGTTCCTTCTATCATGCGGGATATGGCATCAGATGAATATTGCATAACTTCTAAACCTAGAGCTCAACTTATAGGTGAATTTCACATCCGTGCCACTACGCTTTTGAAAGTTAGGCACCAGATGGATAACCTAGTAATCTGCCATTTTTATTTGCACCATCCTGGAGACCCATGCTTGACCTGGCGTGTTCGGAACCAGGAATTTACTGAGCTTTCAGAATCCTACAAAAACTGCTGCTACGAAAACAGCTTCCATGGAGAGCACCGCGGTAGGCAGATATATAAACAAACTCAAAACACTTACTTGTCCTACCAAAAGTGTGGCGTTTCGCTGTACACGCCCATAATGCTTGGTGAAGTTCAGTTTGCAAGCTTGAGATTGTGTGCTTGCAAGAACTCTCACACATAGCCACTGTGTGCGGATCGGATGACCAATTGTCAAAGATGGCTTTGAATGGCCGAGGGGTTTAGGTCATGAGTTGATATCGGTGCAAGGGGAACTAGTGTGACTGTAACAGTCTGATACATCACTTCTGTGTTGCCTTTTAACTATTTTTTATATTCTAGAGCATTTTTGATAGTAATCCGGGACCTCTTTAATACCAGCCATCTAATCATCCTTTTGCTTTTGCAAACGTGAGAGTCATTTAACGAAGTAGTGAAAGGCGTCCATGTAGTGTGTCCTTTATTTGTTGGCTCGCTTGTTGAACCCCACCATTACACCGTCATTTTTGTTCCTGGTTGGCAACGAAAGGGTGCAATCTTTTAAATGTCGTTTGAAAGTTGTCATGATAACGCGTCGTCCTTGACTGAAAACTGAATTAAAGTTGTGATATTCCTTCAACTAGTCACCAAACGGCACGTCACACATGACGCTGAATCTTTTCGATTTCAAGTATAAACCCATTTTGTTTTAATTTCCACGAATAAAATCGCACGCACCTCATTCGCAGTTATTCAGTATCGCGACGAAAAGTTTATTACGGCCAAAGCTAGCCAGTTTGTTTCACGAGGAAGATGATTATTGCACGTAATTTGAGACTAGTTAAAATGAATTGGGACCGGGAAGGATAATGTTTGCATTTGAACGGGGCCTGTTAGCTGAACGATGCCCTGATCTGCTAAACCTTTGCGAGTGGAGTAAGAATTTCTGCTTCAAAATGCTTCGTTTTCCTGCGTATGTGCTCAAACCAAAAATCATCCTAACCTACATTCATATTTTTGCAGCTCACCAAATTTCATTGCCCACTGAAGCAGTCATACCTCTGGCGGAGAAGTCTGGTGGAATGATTTCCCAGCATTAACGACACCCCGGAACGCCAAAATGGGGCTCAAAAGTTTAGACTGGTACTCTAAACTCAATTTTCCGATTGCTTAGTCAATCAGGGGCTCGAAAATTCAATTCTATTGTTCGAATATTAAGCGCCCGTTTGAACAGGGCATGCCATACATAGATGACCCTCCCAGAAACTGACTCTGTATTGAAAAAGTGGGCGACAAAGTGGGCGACACGAGAATAATAGTAATGCGATGCTTGCCTTAAACGGGCACATTGTGGCAGGACTACATGCTCTTGAGCGAACTCCAGAGTTCCCATTGCTCTCAAAGGTAGCCGAACTACGGAAATGAAATGGAAGAAATGGGTGTTAATCATTAGAAAGAGAAAGCGCGTATTCCTGTTGGTCCTATGTTGTCTCTCGCTAAATACCTCACCAACTTGCAGACAAAAATTCACCATGTTCTTCAATAGCCAAGTATCTTATGGCCAAAAATCCATTTTACCCATTTCAATTCATCATTTGCCGCTCAATTTCTGTTGTGATCTATATTTCCACTGGTTTTCTGATACTACTGGAATAAATCGAGCAAAGCTCTCTCTATGCGTTTAACAGGCTGCGTCTGTTTGACTGGTCGGTTAACCCACCAGATTTATTTTCTTATGACTAACTCCGTTTTGTTTTCTGGTGGCTAGATTGGTACCCACGAGACACTGTTCTCACTATTTTCATTGAATGATTCAAACTCCTAATCGGAGAGGACTTCAAGTAGCCCGCTGATAATCGGAAAGGCCGATTTGTCGTTTAAAAGGCGATCACTAAATCACATGACTTTATATGCACTTATTTATCAAACGTCGATTTTTATTCTATTGTGTACCCTACGTGGGGCGATTTGTGATCAAGAGGTCTACCTTTAGACGACCAATTGGAGGGCCGCAGATTATCATCCCCTGGGAGTCTTGTGAGATGCTCATTAAATGCTATTCCAAACAACGATCGGACAGAAGTACCGAGGTACAGTATTGCTCAACTTTTTAACACACAAATAATTCATTTGTAGAATGAATTGCTTCTAGTTGTTCTGAGCCCAAAATATTAACTACTTGCTTGAGATGAGGTTACTAGTCTCCTAACCTAGATAATAACTTTTAACGTGCCCCCTCTGTAAGTGTTTCCAAATAGCGGAAGACCTAATTGTTTAAGTAAGTGTTTTTAACAAGGTTACAAACAAGTAGATACAATACAATATACATTCGTTTGACACAACGTTGCCCTAGAATTAGTTTCACTCAAAAGCTGCTGAGGGTCGTTTGGCACCTGGTCGACTGCTTTCCGTCACGCTGTCTTCTTCGCCTTCATAGCCATAATCTAACGTAGTTTCCACGCAGTATTGTCCAGTGTTGGCTCCAGCGACTTCAAGTTGATCAATTATAACATCGCTCAAAACTCGAGGTTGCTGAGGTTCGGTGGTTTCTTCCTCTTCTACAAAAAGATTTAGCACAATAAAGATTGCGTTCACATACAGGTTTCACGATTAGAACTCTCTCTTGTAATAGCTTCTTTGTCCTCTGCATTTAATAGCTAGCTTTTCTGGCACTAAAATGTGCCTTCCATAGCTGTGTATTTGAAAATTTTCAACAATCAGGGATCCGCGAAATTTCCGAGTGATAACGACAGCTCATCCAGCCTACTGTGAATGCGTGCCAAATGAACGGTGAAAATGAAGTGTAGCTAGAAAACATGATCGTTTTCCTTAGCATGAACAAAGGACAAGGAATAATTAATGACATTGTCTCAACAGTCCTCGTGCCTACGTTGAAAGAAAGTCGATGATTATATCTGAGCTATCGTCACTGAGTAGACAAGCCACTTTGATGACGATATTCACGTGCGAAGCTTTGCTTAATCGTAGGCGGTTGCGAAATTGGTAGAATTCGCGTATAATTTACTTTCGCGACATTATTCCGGTAAGTCCATAGCCAATGAGGGAAGCAATGGAACTGTCGAAAATCTGATATGAAGCGAGAGTGTTACGACAAATTTGGGGCATGCAGGACGCAGTTGAATCATCGGCCATGAAGAGGCCATTTTATTAGCAATTCAGCGATGCTACTGGTTTGCCAAACGTCTCGAACGATGACCCACTTACTGTCACCTTGTTTTTCCTAACGTGGGTAGTCAACGTGCGGTTTAGCATGCTTATGTTAAGAATGTTGCTAATGCGGAATAGATGAGTCTTCATCATTGGTGGTTGATCTGGTCTGCATACTTTTAGCGCATCATGAGTGCGCAGCTGAGTTCATAATTCATCCTTGCCTGATTGAGTTTATATAGTTGTGGAAGGCTAGCTGAAATCTATTGCTTTGACTGACCGAAGGAAACACACCTTCTATGTTGGGTGCATAGTGGGACAGCTTACGGACGGGAGGAAACAAGGGCGGTACATGAGTCTTTTATTTCAGACGGTTGTGCACTTTGTATACTGTGATAGCTCTTTTGTGACAGATACTCAGTCAGTCTCTGTTGCTGCCTAGTCAGAGTAGGGGTAGAGTTCAAACGTCCTTTCTGGCAATGAGCACATGGATTTCGACAGCTAAGGAATAGTTCCAAAGCGTCATTCTAAATTCAAGTTCCTACGAAGGGTCTGGATAATCTATTCTATTCTGTTGGTAAAAGAAGAGGATCTCTGGAGGAAAGAGCGACTTATCCCTCTAGAGTCTCACAGCACGTTATGAAAAATATTCGTGAAATATTTCAGTCTGTTAGCTGAATTGAACCATCACAGCTACTTGTTTGCGTTGCGACCGTCACAAGTTCACAATCAGGAAAACAGGTTGGTTTACAGTCTTCTTTAGAACAAGTAATTGGTCGAACGTCTCCATTATTGAACATTGTCTCCAAGGCCGACACTTAAAAGTAATGTACAGATTATGAGGCTCATCTTGTAAGGTACGTGAGGTTCATCTCATCAACGAGGATAGTTTTATGAACAGGTAGAGTGAAGGAAATTACTCCAGACAAACAAATAGGGGTTGTTTCTAAAAGAATTCTACTCATTTAAATAGTTCTAAGCAATGTTTCACAACGGAAAGATTACTGCGAAACCTGTTGCGCACTCAGACACCAAGCTGTCGACTTTTTCTGGTCAAGGCCCATTGCTCGGGTGGGAAGTTTCTCCTTACCATGATGACTCTCGAACTGGCCCGAGGAAATCATTCACCGAATTATCTTTCAACACTTTAAATCTGATTAGGTGCTTGAAACTCGCTAGTCAAGGAAATAGAAGCAGAATCTTATTTAAAAGTTGCAACATAATCTATTACACCTCGTTAAAAGGCTGATCAAGCAAGTTTTTGCAGATAGCGGTTGAGGACTCAAATGGATTCGGTCCATCAGTCTCGTCAGGTTTATATGGCGAACAGTGATTCCCTGCAGATATATGCTTCCTTGTAGTATATATAAATCCTACAGACAGGTTAGCCTAACTTCACTGATCTTCTGGTAAAAATCTTCGACACGGAAAAAGACCGAATGTTGGTACAGATATACCCATGTAGCTGCAAAGCCTTTACTCATTCGGCACAGTGACCAGATGACTTACTAACACTGTCTGCCCAATACTGGCAATGTGCGTCCGGCTAATTGATAACCCAGTGCACCTGCCATGCTATTCAGCATTTGTTGCAATGACTTATAAGACGGAAAAGTGAAATGAAATAGAGCCCAGGAACTCGGTGTTAATTGACTTCCACTTAAATATATTGAGACGTTTTCATCCCTTACGTTTCATTGTCGCAGGGTTCTCCTGTAAGTTTTTGGTCAGTTGCCAAAATAGCTGATCGTCTATGTCAACCCCTAGCTGCCGCCGCTTGTGCGTTTCTACCGCAAACTAATAAGCGTGACAAGGGACCGTTTGTGTATGAGATATATCTTGGATAGAGTTAGAAATTCCAGTGTACCGTGACGACAATGTCAAAAACTGTGGGAAGACCTCCAAGAGTAATTGAATCTTCAGTGTCCTAGTGGAAAAAAACAGAGGGCATTAGAGAGAGAGAGATCATTATCTTCAGATCGAATGGTACAGTATTTGATAGTTTGTATCGCGTTTCAGTTTACGTGCTATTATTTGGTTCTCTTTAGCTTGTTTTCATCAACTTACCGCTTGTTGATGGAACAAATTCCGTCGATTCAGCCGGAATAATATCTGCCAAATATCAGAAGAAAAAGTTGCGTTGCATAATGTAGGAAAGCTGGTCAACATAGGATTTTCAGTAATACAGTTGTTAGCCATCGGTCAGTGTGAGGATAATCTGCATAAGGAGCGTCTGGATTACACAAACTTTGAAGGATCCATTAAATTCTGAACGTAGGGTCTCGCGATGCAAGAAGCTATTCTAATTTTCGCAGTATTTTTGGGATGCAAGTAGCACATCATAAACCAAGTATTATAACGATGGAAGGAAATCCGTGTGGCAATAGTCTGAAGTTCAACAGAGCGCGACTGTAGCCAAAACCGACTGTCCACTTGCCTAATTAGCCCCGATAAAACGAAACTAGTGCACGACTTTGTGCTCTGTCAATGCCAACCAACTTGTTGTCAGAGTGATGAGTAATCGATCAAGACAACCGAGTTTTCTTCAAACTTTCTCTTACTGTATTACATTGTTCATAGTTTGATGTGATGTCCTAAGCTTCGAAAGCAAAAATGATAGGAAGTCGTGGACAGATAAAAACGATGCTAACTCCGGGAACAGTTGCCTCATCAAGTGCTCGAATGCAACCTAATGCTGATTTTGATCACTTGTATTACAAACGCTAGTTTTATGCATCGGATCCCCTCCTTTCTGTTGCGCTACGTCATAATCAAAATATTTTTTCTAGCTGTGATGATTTTTGTGCACTTTCCAAGGCCAAATCTTGGAAGAGACGCTTGCTTCAAGTGTCTTAGACAGTGCGCTAAGACTGAGATGGACAAATTTGTGGTGCCACACAAGTGTCAGAAAACAGTTGGCGAGGTAATCCAGATTTGTTGCATCTGTACGGATTCGTTGATGAACCACTGCTAAAGAAGTCGAAGTGGCGGAATTGTACGGTAGTCTTGAATGCTCAGTTCACGTTCTTTGTATGGATAATTTTGTCCGTACACCATGATATACAGATATCAGTGAACATCTCTCATAGCTGTACGTGTAATACACTACTTATAAGGTTGCTGGAAATTCCTCGACAACTGACGACTGATTTTGGCCTTCTTGGGTCTCATCAGGTAGGCGCACTCCCGGAGTTTTCATCAATCTTATGTTCCACTTGATCCCAAATTAGAAAAAATTTGGAAACTACGTACATTTGCGTATCAATTTGGTTTTGACGTGAGACTCACCTGAAACCCGACCTAGTCTACCGTTTACGGTGTTGATGTTTGTGATTGTGAGTCTACCGTGAAAACCAAATTGATATGCAAGTGAGCGTATTTGTTGAAATCCTTCACAGATCTCTGTTTGGCTACAGAATGAATGCATCATTCCACAGTAGTCACTAGTGTGGTTACATTGAAGCCTATTTATAAGGGTCAAAAGCGTTATTGCTGACAGCAAGATGGTAAAAAACTGTATCGGCTTTTTGTTATTGAAGAGTTTATCGTGAAAAATCATGTATAAATCTGTAGTTATCTGAGATTTCAGGAAGATTTATGACTGCGGATAGTCGCGGTATAGCACATATGAACCTGTCGTGAAGGGCAAAAATGTCTTTTGTAACTGAGATATAGTTAGTCTGGATCCATAAATAGAAATAAATTGCATTTACACACAAAAGTTGTTGCGAGGCTCATCGAAATATGATGATTAATCCTTTCAATGAAACTCCAAGAATTTCAGTGGGTCATTGCTGAATCAGCAGCACTGTGTTGGCTTTCTCACTGCATCCAGCATAGCTGCATTTATGAGAAATTTGTCACAAACTATCAGCTTTTGAAATAATTTCCATCCGGTTTCCTTGTACTTTTTTATTTCGTGTAACCTTTAGTGGTTCTTTGGGACCCAATGTATTCTGACGAAAAAGTACCGTGTGCAGTTGCATTTGGGCTCATCCCTCGAGGTCACGTTCGACCATAGACATGCCAGAGGTTAAAAGAGCATCTGAGCTGCGTAGACAAAGGGTCAAAACATGACCTATAAAAACGAATACATTTCACCCCTTTTTCTGGTCACTATTCCAGTGGAAGACTATTACATTTTAGTTGTTCACCCCTCAAAAAATAGGAAACTAAAGTTATCGCTTCTTTAACAAGATTGCGATATCCAGTAAGCTAGATCCACTCTTATGGAATCCATGGGGCTGTTCTTATGTACTTACTTCAGTCTGTTTCTTTTGGACAAAACAGTTCATCTATCCAGCATATTTGCTCTGAGTGTCCCAAGTGAAGTTGCGGACTTCGGGTTTACGTACTCCTGCTTGAGTCTTCACACTTGAGCCTCCAAAGTGGCTATCATCTCTCACAGTTGAATGTTTTACACACGTCATTCTTTTCATCAGAATCAAATGTGTATTCTTCCAACAGTGCTCCTTAAAAGTTGCCTCTTAGTTGAGTGTCAAGATCGTCCTTCTAATATAAGACCGTATCCGTGTCACAGTGGAGTCCTTCTGTTCTTATTACAGTAGTCCTGTGAAACTTTATTGATGCTCTCAGCGTCCGGTGAAATGCCATGTAGATAGCACACCAGGTCAGAAGGGCGCAGGTGTTAGATAGTTCAAAATGAGTCATAAACCAAGAAAAGGAGGGCTAAGTTGTGGATTATAAGTCAGAAGATTTTCGCTCACCTATGCGTGAGCAAACTGTAAACTGTACGGTGCGGCAATGAACCAGAGTTTTACTCGTCAAGACCAAAAGGCATTTTGAAAAATCAAACGACTGAAGAGTGAAAAACCTTTTTTGTGGTTGTCAGTATAGGGATAACACAGAAAATCCTGAGTGACTGAAAAATCTAAGTAAATTCGTACCAATAGCGGGTTTGCGTTTGAGCATTCTGAACTCTGTATGCCGAGTAATGACACTGAATCCCATTAAGTCCCATCGAACGTTGGTAGGTACGCCTACTGAATGCTTCTACTATACCCTGAGGGGTGTGAGAAGGCAATAGTTCCCCCCACGCAACTTTTATTTACTGAGAACACCAAGACTAGTTTGGCTTTGATGCAATACGGATAAAACGGGGATTCAAAGATCTGTTCTTAAGATAATGGACGGAGGTTAAAGGGTGTGTGTAGAAGAAGGATATGAAACCTTATAAGGGAAGCACATCTGCAAGAAAGTTTCTGCTAGTTCAAATCCACATATTACTAATATATTCCAAGAAAGCAATGGACCAGCAAAGCTATGGAAGCCAAGCTTGAAGGCCAAGCGTTTCATTTAAAATGACGGCACTTTAAACTTCTAACTGCCTTCTTTCACCGAACTTCGCCTGCAGCTAAATCCCTTATCTTTTCCACACTGTACTTTAAGAGAAAAAAGTAAAGAGTAACCTTTCGTGATTTAGATCATTTTCCCACTTTCTTTAGGCCTTTCAAAAGTCTTTGTGGCTGTCAACCAGCCAAATCACTGCGCGATTTCGTGAGTGCAAAGGAAAAAAACGTAAAGTTATGTTCTCGTGGATAGTAAATGTTTCGTGGGTCATTTAACTGACAGGCTTGTGAGGACCACGGCAACAAACCTGCTTACATTTGGTTTATCACCGAGTTGATTTCAAAGCAAGCCTACCCTATTCACTTCAAAGGACATCGCCTTTGAACATAGAAATTTTCACTCGGTGGTCTCCAATAGAAATCTCAAGAAAGCTTTGGGAGTAACTTAAGTTTTTCACTTGGGATAGCGGAGATAGATAGACAACATAAATTGTTTTGAGGGGACAGAGTCTCAGAGTGCTTCAGTGGCCGACTTGTCTTTACGGTATGCACTTGTACTTCACACGGTCAAGGTTTTTTTAACAACTTATATCCGTTTACGCCAACACCCTTCGGGCATTTGAAAGAAGTCATTTTCCCGTGTTTGTGTGTGTGAAGCTCATTGTTGCATGTGACAGGCACATTCAGGTCAGGCAAATGCGTAGCAAATCACGTGCCAGTTTTAAGTGCGAAAATGTGGCGTGGAGCAATCGTCTGGTTACAGGAGCTCTGAGTAGGTGGGTGGTCGGTGATGCTCGACTATCCCAAGAAACATCTTTTCGTTCAAATCATGTATACATAGTTGAAAAACTAAAAATTTTCAGGAACGTCGTTAAACAAATTCTCCTTCGTTGATTGTTACTACAAGCGTAACAAACGATTGGATTGCCATGTAGTTAGCCATGTTGATTGTTTGAAAACCCTGACTGACATTCAGATCTCCGATACCTAGAGTCTCGCCCATAAAAAAGTGTGATTCTCTCCACACGGTGAGTTCCAAAGAACCATTGAGAATAAAAGAGAAGCTATCAATCTTCATTTTTGGAAAATAGTGCAAGCTAATAATTATGAGGACTCCAAAATTGATTAAATCACTACTTTTGGCGGAAAGACGACCCACATCCGATATTATAAATTTTATGCAGCGTAGCCAAATATCAATGGTCAACAATTCTTTGTTACAATACTACTACCTATTCTTTTGAGACAGCTATTGTTTACTTGTTTATTTTTTGCACATGCTCCTACGAAGCCCGATTGAGCTACACTTGATATCCGTTTATTGTCATATAAATTTGAAATATGAGCTAAGGGAACTGGTGACAGAAAACAAGATTTATTCGCTACCTTAATTCGTGAGTAATCTGTTATCAAATTGCGTTGTTTAGCGTCCATGTTAGCTTTGCAAAAGAGCTGTGCATATATATATATATATATATATATGTATTCGGCTGAGTGCTTT